CTGTCTAACTCTAAAGGGGACTGGACAGACCCAAAGCCTGACCATTCCTGGGCAATGCTACAAGGCCTCCCTCATCCTTCAAGCTTTTCCACCATTGCAAGAATGACATTCACAATACTGACCCCCTCACGAACCCAATACCCACCCTACAAACCCCAATCAACCAACCAAAAATCATTCATGTCCCAAGCAGTTTGTACTTGGAAAAGGGAGAGGTGCCAGGGACTTCATGGAGTCCACTAAAGGCTGGGCAGTTGCTATTGATTTAAGTGGAAGGGGCTCAGACACTACGGTGGGCAGCCGTATGAACCCCAAGATAGATCGATATTATTGCTCTTCACATAATATTTACTTTGCAATTAATTATTCAATCAATATTTGTTCATTTTTCACCCACTTCGTAGAGCTGGGTAAATAAGGAGCAAACATCCATGAATTCACACGTACTTCACAAATATCTATCCTATAATCTTATGTTCCCAAACTTGCTGGTCGAAGATCATGGCTATTTTAGGATGCCCTTTCTTTTGCACTCTCTCACTTATCAGGGAACAGCTGGGGTTTGGGGGGACACATCGTACAGCACCAAAGATACAAATACTAAATGTTGCTGCAAAGAAGCGCTGGGCACCAGGAACTTCGCAGGAATTGTAATGGTAGCAAGCATTGCCTGAGGCAGTTTGTGAGCTCTGTGTCTGAACTGTGAAACTACATCTCTGCTCCAGGGCCTTGGGCAATTAGCCATCCTAAGTAAATACAATTTTGCCACCTCACAAGAGTGAGGTAAAGTCCATCCAGAAAACCAAAGAGAAAAACAAAGGCAATAAAGTAAACCAGATAAAGGCTTTGTTGGGCTAGAGCAGTCATTGCTTTTCTACTGCACCTGTCACGCTCCAGGACTTGCTGGGTGCTTCTCACTGCAGGGAGCCAGACGCTGGGGGGTGGGAAGGTCGGTGCCAGCCAACAAAGCAGTCAGGGTGATGGTTCCCGTGCAGCCGTCACCTACCTCTTTGGATGCTCTCTATACCCAGTCCAGCTAATTATCCACCACACGCACGGTTATCAGTCCCCTCTCACCAATACCTAATTCAGACAGTTTAAAATAATAGTGGAATCAGGCAGTGTTAAAGGAGGCCTCGTGTTATCATGCCTCATGGCCAGTTGCTGCAGACAGACCAGCTGACTTGCAGAAGCTGTGACTCCACAACAGGGGATGCATCACTTGAGAATTGCCCTGTTCTATTCATTCCCTCTGGGGCCCCTGGCACTCGACCCTGTTGGAAGACAGGATACTGGGCTAGATGGACCTTTGGTCTGACCCAGTGTGGCCATTCTGATCTGCCTGTTTGTAGTTGATGGCAATTTGTGTTACAACTTTCATGTTATTAAAACAGTTCTTATAACCAGATGCTCCTTGGTTCCCTGTAAGACAGCAGTTCTCAGGGACCTGGGGGCAACTGGTGGGCCTTGAGTAGGTTTTATGGGTTCCACCAAGCAGGGCTGGCATTAGACTCACTGGGGCCCAGGATAGAAAGCCAAAGCCCCCCCATGCAGGGCTGAAGACCGGGATCCCAGGCCCCACCACTTGGGGCTGAGCAACTTAGCTTCGCAGGACCCCCTGTGGTGTGGGGCCCTGGTCAATTGTGCTGCTTACTACCCCCTAACGCCAGCTCTGGCTTTGTGGCACAGGTGGGCCATGGAGATTTTATAGCATGTGGGGGGGTGTTCAGAAAGAAAGAGGTTGAGAACCCCTGCTATAAGATACCTCTGTATCCTCTGCAGGGAGAGAGAATCTACTGATTCAGATTGTTCATGGCTTCCAGTCCCACGTTCTCCACAACACGTACACTAGATGTGGGGTTTTTCTGTTTGATGAAGAAATGAAGTCTCCTGAAACTCAAATCAAACATGCTAGCTACTGCGGTTCCTTCCAGTCCTACACTTCTCTGATTCTATGCTTGGCTTACTTCTGGCATTCAGACAGGCTCCATTCCCTGTGGAAGACACAGGCTTCCCCCTCTGGTCTCGCCCATAATATACAGTGCAGTGCCAAAGGTAATCGCTCTTACCAAGGGAGGCAGCAGCTCTGTTCCCAGCCAGGCTAAGCAATAACTAGACTGTAACTGGCGCTGTGAGAGTCACAGTTAGACGTTGATGGTTAGTGGGGACAACTTCCAAAGAGAAGCAATAAATCTGCCCCATGTTCCTGAATGACATTCTGTGTTTACCGTCCAGCTCCCACATGAACTGGAACACGGATGACAACTCCTCCTCCCCTACCATCCTCACGCCCAGTCACTCCTGCACAGTGCTGGTGGCGTGGGAGCAAATGGCAAGGTTTACAGAGAGGAAAGTGACCAAGTAACACTAGAGGGCACTACTGGCCTCTTTCAAAGCCCTTTCTTCCCTCCTTTCTCCAGACCCAATAGAAGTGCAATGACACACATGGAGCGGAGGGGATACCCAAGCAAGTAACTGCATAGGAGGTGCCTTGCCCCCTTTCAGCTTTGTCTTTCAGGGTCTCTGTGTGGAGACCTCTACAATCTCCATTAATTTATATTTACAGAGTCTCCTTAGTCAGCAAGGCGCCAGAAAAACTACAAATCATTGATTTATCCACCAGTGTTTGGCAGCCCTCTCTGACATGGAATTATTAGGAAATGCCTCAGAAGCAATACCAACGCCATTTATATCTATGAGGTCATGGTATTCCCAGTCACATTCCTTGTTTACGTTACAAGGGCACCTTGACCGCCCCCCACGCCCCAAAGGATAGCAAATTTCTGGGGGGGAAGAGTCAACATTTGCTCAGGAGAGACAGCTACAGGATAAGGGGAGGAGAAAATAAATGATCTCTATGGATCACACAGCAGGAACTCAAAGTTGTCATTTTGCTTCGTTTAGGAGAGATTGCCACATGCTATTTAAAAGCAAGCCTCCTGCTACAGCTCCCCACAACATGCAGCATTGCACAGAGCCAGATGGGTTGGGGAAGCTTGCCACATGTGGAAGCCAACAGGGAGTTTGTCAACTCTTTTTTTTTAAAAAGGGCTTTATGACCAATAGATAGTACTGTGGGGCGCTACTCTCAAGTCACCCAATTGAGCACCTGCAGTCCCATATGCAAGGCCTGATGCCAACTAGACCAAATCTGAAGTGTCAGTGTCTGTTATTAACCTGTTTACTTGCTGCTAGACAAATGTGAGAAGCCTGGCAGACAAGGTGCCAGTGCTATTGGGAATTTTATTTCTAGACAACCTTTCATCTGAAGATCTGAAAGCACTTGACTGATAAGTCTCACGACAACCGTGTGTATTATTACTGCAGTTTACGATGAAACGCAGAGAGGCTGAGTGATTTGCCCAAGGTCACACAGGATTCACAGCAATATAATCTATGAAAAACTTCTTGGTTCGAAGGCCAGAAAGGACCACTGGCCTCTGCCAGGGGCACACAAGTCTAGTCTCCTGAGGGCTGTAATACTTTGGTTTAACTCTGATTACTGGGCTTGTTGTGGGAGTGTTGTTGGTGCCCTGTGATATACAGGTGGTCAGAGTTACCATCTGGTGGTCCCTTCTGACCTTAAACGCCATGACCTAGTCTGATCTCCTGCATAACCCAGACCATAGAACTTCTCCTAATTAAGTCCCGTTTGAACTAGAGAATACCTTTTAGAAAAACACCCAATCTTGATTAAATGATTGCCAGTGATGGAGAACCATCCATGTAACTCTCCATGACCCTTAAAAAAAACGAACAGGAGTACTTGGGGCACCTTAGAGACTAACAAATTTATTAGAGCATAAGCTTTCATAACCATGACCCTTGGTTAATTGTACCAATGGTTAATTAGTCTCATTGTTAAAAATTTGCACCTTATCTCCAGTCTGAATTTGTTCAGCTTCAACTTCCGCCTTTGGATTGCGTTCTACCTCTCTCTGCTAGATTGAAGAGCCCATTGTCAAATTTCTGTTCCCCATGGAGGTACTTCTAGATTGTGATCAAGTCACCCCTTAACCTTATTTTAAACCAACCGGATTGAGCTCTCTCGAGTTTATCACTACCAGGTATGTTTTCCAATCCTTCGGTCATTCTTGCAGTTCCTCTCTGAACCATCGCCTGTTTATCCACAGCCTTCTTGAATCGTGGGCACCAGCACTGGACACAGGATTCCAGCAGCAGAGGTAAAATAACCTCTCTCCTCTACTAGATATTTCCTTTATATCCCCCAGGGTCACCCTGGGAGCTCAAGTTCAGCTGATTATCTACCATGTCCTTTTCAGTGACTGCATCCTACGATGAGAGTCCCCGCACTGTGTAAGGATGGATGACTTCTTTTGGTCCTACATGTATCACTTTACATTGGGCCTGTTAAAATGCACATTGTTTGCTTGTGCCCAGTTTACCAAGTGATCCAAATCACTGTGTATCAGCGACTTGTCCTCTTCATTATTTACCACTCTCCCCAGTTTGACTCTCAGACTCAGAACACTGCCTCCTTTAGACGGATTTTAAAGCTACATCAGTACAAAAGTTCATTTCCTATTCCGTCTCAGAGATATTGACCCCTCCCCCTCCGCCGCCAAATAATCATTGAACACTGATTAGTGTTCAGTGTAGGCCCCCCAATCTGAAAACAAAAGAGCAGAGTTTTGGGTGCAAAACCTAAATTTAGTTTAAAAAAAATAGGTCCTTGTTAAGTCAGAGGAGAACAACAGAGAATCAGAGTGCATCTCACCACACAGGAGGCTAAATTAAAAGTGAAGGTTCAGATGAGTGTCCTTTTGAATACCACAAGGATGAATACAGCCAACTTTTACCTGATAAAGGTTTTCACCCCATCAGATGTCACCCTTCCCGCTGCATCACCCCTGGGTGATGACAGGTTGCAACCATTAGCCACTGCGCATCACCCAACACATTCTGATGAACCCATTGGACACCTCCCCATCCCCGACGCACACACAGGGAAACCAGAGAGAGACGCACACCAGACCTCATTGGGGTGAAACATTTACATTTATATTGAAATATGCACTAAACATAGTGAGTTCTACCAGTCAATGCAATTTTGCCAAAGCAGAATCACAGCTTTTCCTGGGGAAGGTTCAGTCAGCTCCCAGCAGTGGGCAGCACCCCAAGGAAGGTCACCATGAAGCAGGGCTGTAATTGGATTTTACATACTGTGCAAGCTTCCAGCCTTTGAGGTCCCCCAGCCTGCACCTGGAGTCCCCTTGCTTGCACCCACATACGAGTTCAGAGACAAGGATTCTCTCCTTCCTTTCACACCTTTTCCTTTGCATTTTCTTCACTGCAATAAATATAAAATTGGCAATGCTCATACACTACAGCACAAACAAGATTCCAGGCTTCAGCATACAACTGTAAACGGTAACTAGATTAGTTTAAAAAATTAAAAGTTCAGAAAGGGTCAGTTCTTTCACAATCAGCCAGTTACAATGGAATAAGTCATAAAGGCTACGCAGGGGCACCCAGACTGGGGTTTGCTGGGCCTGATCCCCAGAGGTGGCAAGCACCCTACTGTTGAAATTGCAAATGCTCAGTACTTCTCAGGACCAGGCTCTAATTTTGGTACAATGAGAAAAAAATTCCCTCCTTGCCCTCTCCAAGGGATATGTGGTTACACTGGGATATGGCCTGGTCACTGCTTAGATGGTGGCAACAGGACAGTAGCTTCAATGTCCCAGATAGAAGAAAGCTGCCCTTCCTGTCCACAGCAGCCACTGCCATGGCTACACACAGAGGTGGTTAACGCAGCTGGGAAAGAAACAATGCGGACTGGAGATGAAGGGCGGCGAACGCTGACCCATGCATAAGCAACATGGCACCTCAGCAAGACAACCTTGAGCATGGAGAGCCACCTGACTACTCCGCCTCAGCCCAACGGATGTGTATTCAACAGGCCAGACCCACCCCACTGCAATCAGCACCTAACCAAGGGGCTCTGGCTCACAGCTGAAGACAGCCTCAGCTGTAAACACACTGCACTGTTACAAAGACTAAGTGCTTTATATAAAAAAAAACTAGATTGCCAGCAAGTAGCTGTCTTACCAGTGTGATGACACCATGGAGAGACATTTAGTGCATGGGTCAAACATGGTACCTTTCAACAAAAGCCTACAACCCTCAAAAACTAGCAGAGACCCAAGTCCTGTTTCATCCCCTCACTCTTGCTACAGGTGGACCCATACCACCCTGCCAAATCTTCTCCTCCCAACCTTGGTTTTAAAATCTGCTTGCTCTCTCTCCTCCACACCCCCAAGTTCCTGTGCTGAGGCTTCCATTCTTTCAGCAGAGCTGAATGATGTTTCTGCAGTTAATGTTCCAAGCTGTTGGAGGGGAAGGGAGCACTCCCCCAACCCACGCTGGCCTGGGGAGGTAAGACCAGGACTACTCCTCTCCCACTGAGCACTATCAGACTTGAACCTTTATTTCTGGGAAGTGGGATTCTTCGGCTTTCCTCCACATCTCTGTGTGGATCACATATACTGGAGACACACACACACACGCTATGCATGCAATCCAGGCAGAAATCCTGCTATGACAAATTCTACAGCAGCAGCAAAAGCGTGATGGGGACATAAACATATTCCTTAATGCTAGATTAAAGCCTGCCTTAAACAGAACCTTTTACTAGAATAAAAGGGCAAACAGGCTATATACACTACATACGTACTTTTTGTAGTGGGGTGGAAAAAGCAATCTAGGTAGATCTCCTGTTTAACAAAAATGTAAAAGAAAAATCAGTTCCTTTTTCATTTGCCTGCCAAAAAGCAGCATGACAGTTGAAGGTTGCAGCCTTCACGAACACTTCAACCAGTGCAGAGGCCTGCATTGGCTGTTGTATTTTAGCGCGCGGTGGTGTGAACCATTATGAGGGATACCACCACCGCTGAACTCCAATTGTGGTAGGTAAGTCAAGGAAGAATAAACTTTGTTAAAGTATTTTTATTTTTAAGTAGCAAGGCTCTGCATTGGGTCTCAAACAGTTTCTTATTGATAAGAATTTTTTTTTTCCTGTTCACCTTTAAATGAATGACAATTTTATATAGTCATTACACAGATTATAATTAGCTCTCATATAAAAAGCTCTAGCGAGACAGAGAGTCCCTGTGAACAGTCCACTCTCCACACTAACTCCCTTTGCTGGAGGGGAAAGGGGCAGTGTCCAGGAGAGGAAAAGGCTACAAACTGACTCAATTCTTTACTGTCAAAGGCCTTATTTGCTTGAATAAAATGTTTGTACAAGTAAAACAGAAGCAATAAAGAAATATACACCTTAGAACTCGTAAAGCATTAGATTGGTTCAGGCCTTGCAAAGAGGGGCTGAGTATGGATTAAAAAAAAGGCGTAACAGTCGTACTTTAAAAAAATTGGAACTATGAACATGAACAGCACTGCACAGAACCCTGTAGCACAGCCCTCATAGTGGGATGAAATGTCAGTTCTACGTTTCTGACTGGCTTGTGTTTGATGTTTGCTGGAAAACTAAGCTCCTAAACCAAAGAACTGTTAAAAGCTGCCAATACTGTACACAAACCAAAACAAAGAACAGGTTCTATAGGAGACATGATATTCAACAGCACCCACATGAGACTGCCCACAGTCCAAGCAACAGTGGAATGAAGTTTGTCACAGCTAACAGACTTTGTAAAACAAAACAATGTTTTGGGAGCGTTAAATGAGTTCAGCTCAACTAACACTTTGTTTTTTTACATTTCTGAATTCCAGTTACATTTAGTCTCATGCTGCTTCAAAAACAAAGAGCCAGAAAGCAACAAGTGTCTTTTAAAAATACCTTAGTAAATAAAACTTCTAAAGGTGGGAACGGTTTTTGACAAAAATGCAGCTGTTTTGTTTCTAGTGAGTCGAATGCAATTCTGGTTCCCAAGCGAATACAGAGTATAGTGCCTAGGGAAGGGAATAGCTAAACCGAGAGCTGCACATGGGTTATTAGAGTCAGGCTGACAGGGATCTAGGGGCACCATAGAGCAATAATGCATGTGAGGGGCACAGAGGTGACAGTCTTGTTCTCATTTTAAATGAGGAATGGTTTAAAGTAAAAATCTTCTTTAGCTAATTTCTTCCTGCAGTAAAACCAGTTAGCCCTGCCCTTCTATGTACAAGACCAGTTTGACGTTAGCCCTCCCCCTCAAAACACTCGATACGAACATCCAGTAACATTCTACAATGGAAAGTGCTTTAAGCAAGAAGGATTCTGTAGTGCCAGTGACAGAACTGATCTGATGGGGCTGGGATGATGTTGAACACTGATATTAGCTGATCAGGCCAGAGCAGCTTGCTTCTCCTCAGGGGTCTCCTCCAGTAGCTGCATGATCAGTTCATGGAGGGGTTTGCAGATCTTTGCATAGCCCCCTCCCGTCAGGTGCAGAAAATCAAACATGTCATGGCACGAGATGGCGCCATCCGAGTGCACGAAGCCCCCACTGACGTCCAGAAGCTGGACGCTGGCGAGTTTTGGGAGCGAGGCTTTTAGCAGCTGGTTCACCTTGGCATTCTTCTGCCGCAGAGGGTTTGGTTTCTCGCCTCGAGGTAGCAAGCTCTGATAAGGGAAGCAGGCAAAGAAGAGAGCTTTGAAATGACTCAGACAATATAGTAACTTATAGTCTCTTTCTAGACTTGGCCCCTCATTCTGAGCTTTAAAGGGTCTATCCCACTCCTCCCCCTGCACATCCTCCTCACCCCCTCCAGCCCCACTTTGAAACATGACTGAAAACAGTCTGAAGAACACTGCTGACCCATGGGCAAATCTTCTCTTTTCACCAATTCTTATTAGCATTCTTATTAGCTACTTATGCCCTCTTTCAATGCAGTTTTAATGGTTGGTTATGCAACTCCCACAGCAGAAGAAGAGACATTCTAAGCTGTTTGAGCACAGGATCAGAACTGGTATTGCTCAAGTTCTAGTCTCAGCTCTGTCTCCATCATCCTTGTCTCTCATGTGATTTCACTGCTTCTGTTTCTCTGTCTGGGACAAAGACGCCTCTAATGAGAAGATAATACTCTTCTGAAGGGGCTGAGAAAGTTAGATAATGTTGGCAAAGCCCCCTGAACAGGAGAAACCATCCTACAGTGTTTATTATTGTAAATAAGTTATGACCCACCCCCCAAAATGCACAGGTAACACCCAATACCATTGGGACAGGGGTGCAAACAACATGACATGGGTTGTTCCAATGGTGCTATGTTATCACAACCCTCTGATGTGCATACCAATACAATAACTTTGGCCTGTGGCTGTTGGGTATTTATCAGCCGCACGATGGCCTCGATTCCACCTGCTACTTCCTCCGCTGTATTTTCATGGTTATTTGTTCCAACCCAGACGACAATGACCTGTGAAGAGGAAACAGGAACTGTGCAGCAAGTTTAGCACTCCACTCAAGGTACACAAACAGGAGAGGCTGTAGCAGCCATACTGGCTCTTGGGGAAAGGGCAATAGCTAGGGCCTAGGCTGTCTGCAACCAATCAGACAAAACAATTAAGAGTTAGGCTTAAATATTAAAAGTCCCGGACTGTCAGCTTTGACGACTCTTGAATCATTTCTTGTCAACTTAAGACTCCTCCCTCTCACCCAGTACAGAACCAGAGTCACAGTGTTAAAAGAAGCTACCCTGATCAGCACAGGAACAGATATCTGACACTTCTTCTGCACTGTGTTTAGTGACCAATTCAGACTCCTAGAGTACCTTGCACCTTGCCTGTCTTACAACATACTAGATGTGTATGAAGCAGACTAGAAGCATCACAGGTGAAGAAGCTTATTTGTTTGTAAAGCACCAACCACAGTCTTGGCTCTCAAATGAAACCCTTTTATAGCATTTCTCTACTTTTAAGCCTTAACTCTTATGTTGGGGTCATGAATGTGCTTGACAATGGTGACCAAACTTGAACCTGTGCTGTACATTATGTATTGTGGTGCAGGGTGCTTCGCAAATGCCTACAACACCCCGGTACACTGTATGTCATTTAGAATGTGTTATTAGTTGCGTGAAACCTTGTTGTGGCCTGACTTACAGAGATGGACAGGTACGAATGCACCCTTCAATTAATAGAACTGTAAAATTAGACAACCTGAAGGAACACCTAAATGCAGTGTCTAATCCTGAAAAAACCTAGGGAGAGGTTTTTGGGTCGGGCTGCAGGATGAAGAGAGTGTTTTTGGTGCTATGAGCAAAAGAAGCTGTTTCTTGCTATTTGATTCCTTCGGTCTTCAGAGACACAGGACTTTGTACATTCCTTGTAAATAAACACCTTTTATAGAGAAGTTCTAAAGAAGAAGCTAAGAGCTCATTGGTTAGAGAATGACTATTCTTCTGACTTTTGGTGCCCTCAGCTCTGTACTAGACAATATTCAGAGTTTTTTCTAAAATAAAAAACATAAAAGCAGCTGTTTGTGTTTATACCTTGGGTTTAATGTTCTCCAATTCACCATTCTTCAATCTCCATAGAACATGAGCTGTTGTGTCCCCACCGATCCCAAAATTCAATGCATGAAGAGGTGAAAAAAGCTCTCGCCATATCTGTAACCAGAAACCAATTTACTATTTTAGATCAAGTGTTATTCTTCAGCATCAAAAATAAAACACTTTACATGAAGAGGTAACTCAGGTAATGGTACATTCGAAGTGAGTGAAGATCTTCTCCAGGGGAGAAGAGATGCTGCCAGTGGAAGCATTACACATTCTTTGGGCCAGAAGAGGTGGAATCACAGCAGTTAATTAACTCAGTCCTGGCAGAGAGATAAGAGGGAGCTAATACGGAGCAATCTCCCTTCAGCCCATCCAGGAGGGATGTCGATGGCCTAGAAAGGGAGCCATCTCCAGTCCATCAAGGCCAGAACCAGAGCTCAGCTAAACATGGGACTTTTGAGGAGAGAAAGGAAATCTTGAAGGAACTCCTTTTACTGCCTAAGAAGTTAGAAGTCTAGAACCAAATGAGTCACATTGGAAAGGAACACTTTCAGAGCAAAGCGGTTTGGTAGCCATTACTGATGAAATATTGGATGAAGGGACAGCTTTCAAAACATTTTACACATTTTTTTAAGAATATCCTAGTTGCTGCCTTTCCTAATCTCTGGACACTGGGATAGTCAATAGCACAGTCTCTATGCCAGCAGAGGGACAAGCATGCTAGGACACTGCATGCAAGAGGGTTAAATTGAAATTCTCTGGCTAAGGTGATACACGCACCAAATTTAATATTTGTACCATTGCGAGATAAGGAAACATCATTATTGAGAACGAAGTGAAAAACAGTCACATTGGAAGTTGGATGGGCACAATCTAGAATACAGAAGGTGTGGGGAGAAGAGAGGACAGAATTCATTTTAAATCTACACATGGGCTCACACGGCAACTGCAGAGTAAGAAAGAGTGGCAAGAGTGAGATAGAGGGACAGAAACGGGATGTGTATGGTGAAACTAAGAAGGCTGCAAATGACCTCAGGGAAAGGAGGGGTGGGGTGAAGGTTCAAAGCGGCTGACGGGATTGGACTGGAGAAGCCTAGGGCAAGCACAGGGAAATGGAAGGGATCAAGGTTTGGAAAGCAGCTGTAGAAGTGGAGGTAAGATTAGAAAGGACCCGAGGACAGGGAGGCACTGTCAGTATTGCATAGGTTCACCAGTTATTGGACTAGAAGTGATAGGGAGGCACCATCTCACTCATTTAACCCCACAGCTTCATCCCCTCCAGCCATACCTCATACTGCTGTAGCAACTGCACCATGGAATCACCCACAAACAGCACATCGGGCTCCTTGTCCTTGCAGTCCAAGACAAATCTGTTGTGCTGTTTAAAAGAAAGCAGCAACATAAGCTCCAGCTGACAGTTCCCCTTTGGTATCTGTAGCCCATGCACAGAAAGTGATAGTTGCCCAACCAGTTCCTCTGCTGCCAAACTTTGTGACTTTTCATCCTGTCTGCCCCTCAGGCATGTATCTTTAGTTTAACTCCTTAACTGCTGGAACTTCCTCCCTGCCTGCTCTCTCCCTGGCATAGACAAGTTCTGACATTTTAAATGGCCACTCCTTTACAACTCAGAGCCCCTCAGGCTACACTATGCACCACACACAAAGGGGGTGCTTGCTCCAGATACTGTGTTCAGCAATTCTAAATCTATAGTCATTCAGGTTGTTGGCTAGTCACAATACGAGTCTCCTCAGACTATTTTCACCCTGTCTAGAAGTAGCTTTAACAATCTAGTTGTACGAACAGGAGACTCCGAGTCCAGACACTTGGGTTCAGCTATTCTCAGCTTTGTAACTGCCAGGATATATTACACACTTCAGTGCTATCCAGTTTTTAATAAACTGGTTGGCAATTCTTCCCAATTAATGAGCCAGTTGCAATATCTTTCTGGAACTCTATTTCAAAATGTGGTTTGCAGGTCATGGCACAAAGCTGCTTTTTGCCGTCTTTTATTGTGGCAGGTTACTGGAAGCCATCAATAACGCTGCTAACATCTGCGAACAGAATCAGAAATGTAAGCATCTGTATGTTGCTCATCATGCACCTGATTACCTCACAATCTGCTAGTAAAGAGGATCCTATCCGTCAGCTGTGTTTTCAGTTTTACCTGTGACATCCACCTGTCATCTCCTTGAATGTCTTCAGCTGCATGTGGAACTGCTGCTGGGTTTGAGTCTCCCTGGCTCATTCTATTCCTGTTGAAAGAACATTTAATATATGTTACGCTATATACCAAGGATCAAAATCAAGCTCTGACTCTCAAGAGGCCAGAGCTGTTGCCATACACTCGTACAAGGAGTCAAGACCAGCAGTAGCTTAGCTTGAAAGAACTGCATTTACTAGACATTTGTAACTAATAACAATTTGCATCTGTTCTGCTGAAAGCGAATATGCCTGGAAGACTCACTTAAGCAAGTTTTATTCCATGCAGGAACCCCGAATTGTCCCTGCAGCATGATCTTGTTGAAACCACTCTACCAACTTCTGATCAGTGACATCCAGACAGGTGAAAACAACCTTTTAATAATAATAGCAAGTTCATTTTAGGGCAATCTTTGCAGGAGCACCTATCTCACGCATGTTTATTATTCACTATAACACAGTATAGATTCTAATTATCAGAGGATTTGCCATTACTTGTACAATACCAGACTGCAACTGCATATATACATTTCAGATGGATTAACTGGTTTCAAAAGACAATGAACTAGCTCCATTGGCCCAAGAGGGTCTAAGCAGAAAACATTAGCATTCCACACGGGGCTGGCACCTCCGAAGTATCTTTAGCTGCAGCTCTATGTAATAAACCAAAAAACTTTATTCTGAAGCCAGTGTGGTAGTCTAGTGGAGAATACCATTAGCCAACACACAGGAGATAGAGAGTAATATAACTTGGGAAAGAAAGGAATGTGACTGAAATATGCAGCCATGAAAAAAGTTGGGTGAAAGCTTAAGAACCCTCACTTTGGTATAGCTAGTTTTATGTTAGATGCAAAATGTAGAGAGAGCAGGTGGTCCCTTCTGGCACATGCAAATAGGGCAAGGGAATGCCCATATCCAAGTGCCAGAGATCATAAATCATAAAATTACATTTAAAAATATTTGCTCTAAAGTATTTTCATATTTAACCCTACAGACTAGTGCTTCCCTTTGAGTAACATATATAGAATAATACAAGCTGAGGGGAGAGTAATTTCTTTTGAAGTCTTTGCAGACAAAATATCATTAGTGATTGATAGTTAATGTTATCTTGCTCTGTAAGCTTGCATTCTCTCTCAATTTGTGCTCTATACATGCACACACACACATACTGTGAAATATTCTTAGAAGTAATTTTTCTCTTGTCGAAAAAGAGGTTTCACTGTTTGCAGAATTGCAATTTGCTCACTACGATGCAGTGAAACCTAGGGCATTCATACTATACCATTAGAAACAGAGTGATCTAGTGAGCCAAGTTGACTATAGAAGTGGGCTCTACTGTATTATCATAAAGAGGAAAACAATTTTGGAGTGTTCTTTTATATGTAACAATCCAACCCGCATAACTGCTTTATCCACAAAAACTGAATCTATCACAACATTTACAAGCTGGCCTATAAAGTTCAGGTGCCAAGTACACTCTGTGCATTACTCTCACCGCTACATAGGTACCCAAAGAACTCCAAGGCGAGTAACAGGAGGGAGAACCCAGCGCTCCCACAAAGCAAGCCTTTTCTGACACAAGAGGCGACTGACACCAATATTTATTCTAACATTTTTCGCCTCAAGTGACTCTTGCTAAGGAATAAGTCACATAGCATTACATAAACATTTATCCCTGCATTTAATAGCAGAACACACAGCTTTGCACTGGAAGGCGAATTTGCCAAAACTATGCTTACACAACATATGCCCTCTTCACAACAGGAAATGCTAATGTTAATGGCTGACAACCATAGATAAAAGTATTGTTATGGAGACAAAGGGTTTGATGCACAACAGCACTTACTCATTTTGGTGAAAACAGTTTCAAGTTTCCTGAAGCCTTCTGGGTCAATGTTGCCCTAGAGTGAATGAAGTAAAAGGTCTACTGCACACAAGAAAAGTTTGCCACACCAGATCAGACATAGCTCCATCTGGCCTTGTGGCCTGCAGTTGCCAATAGCTTATGCTTCAGAGAAAGGAGAAAACTCAATTCACCGATCACAGAACATCTGAATTTCCATACTGGTTCAGACCTGTGGTCAGCCCATCTAGTCCAATATCCTGTCCTTGGCAGTGGCCAGCACCAAATGCTTCAGAGGAAGGTCAAGAACTCCATAGCAGACATACGTGGGATAATCAGACTCCATGAAAGTCTCATCCCAACCCCTAACAGTCAGAGATTGTCTTAAGACCGGAAACGTGAGATTTTATATTCATTCCAACACTTTTTTGGGGCAGCATAGTCTATTAGAGCCAATATTCTTGTTATCCATATAAACATCCAATTCATCTTTAAATACAGCACAGTACGGGAAGAGGGGAATGAGTCTTGAAGATGAGATCTGAGCTACAGCTATTACTAATGGACATGAAATTAACCAGCCCTTTAAAAATTCAGTCACATGATTTGATTCAATAACCTAAATAACCCTAAATACACTTATCACTTACAAGTCCCACAGTATCTCCACCAACACATCTTTGGCAAGAACTCTGGTTGAAACCCTTTTGGTTGGCAGAGATAACTGTTTTGTGGTATCAAAGTATGCAGGTGTATGTAGGGAATAAAGTCTCACCTAATCAACTGACCAGTGACTTTCACTTGCAGTGGCAAAGAGCATTACAGTATTGATACATTCAGGTATTTTTCCATGCATGTATTATTAGTTTCCACCCACCCAACAATGGCCAGTCCCTCTTCTAGCATAATATTAATGTGCCTAGAACACACAGCATCAGAGACCCAAACGTGACTTTATGCAATGCTGAGAAATACAAGGTAATGGGAAACAGACATGAAAATGGGTGGATCATAGTACAGATGATAGTCTCTCGTACACAAGCATATGGGATTGATCCTGTACTAGACAAAGGATTTTTACACCTCCAGATGTGTGAGCAAGAAGTTAGAGCTCCATTTCAGTAATATAGGTCAATTTGGAACAAGGTGGAATGAGGTCTAAGAATTCTCCTCTATCCTTTAACAGAAATGTCTTCTCTTTACTCGTACACCTCCCATTATGATTACAAAGAACAACAGTTTCCACTCAGCTTCCTCCTCTTGAACTTGATACCACAATGAAGTAGGAATGAAGCAGCCAAGTTGTGAGGAAAAGAAGCGTCTCTTTAAACAAATATTTGATAGTTACAGCAGGAGAAAAGTGGCAAAACTGTTTGCATCAGACAATGTCCCAGTGTGAAAGTCCCTCTTTAAAGACATATGGCATCATAACCTGGGAAGGTTGGAAGTTCCATATTCAAAGCTACAGATATCCATCATTTCCATTTTACCCTTGTAAAGTCAGATGATGATAATTTTGCTAATAGCACATCCCTGATGTTTGGTTTTATCTTGGTTCAAAAAGGGAAAATGACTAATAAAAAGATTATGCAAAAAAATCTAAGGTTATACAAAATGTTTACACTCAGTGGATCAGCAAGACTCAATCATGGACATTTATATACCATTAAGGGAAATCAGGAGACAGTATATACAAATTCTACATTTCTCCTCTTGCCTCAAATAACTCTCCCCACTCCCATCCCCTTAGAAATAATTTTATAAAGTCATGTGCACCACCAGACGGCAACGGGGGCAGAGCAAATAACGAGGCCTTAGCTAGACTGTTGGTAGCCTGACAGTCTATTTCCAAAAGACCATATAGTAAATGAGAGACTCAGCTACGCTCATCGTTTGAAAGGGTTCCTTTCAAGGCTACATTGAAACACATTGGCGGGTGCAGTTTGGAGGAAGCTGGCTGTTCTGGGGACAAACAGAGGACTCCAGTCCCCTGGTTGTCAACTCAACACCTTTCACCAGAAGATTCACATAGTTTTTAAAGAGACGCCAAAGGAAGAAAAGAAACATTGCCCCAGTAAGTTAGAACTTGTCTGTTACAGTATTCCTCCCCCTTGCTACCCAAACCCATTAGGATTGAGAATCTCATTCCACCCGTGACGTGAACAGATTCCGAAATCGAATCCTATTATTATGGCTGTGTCTGATGGTAGAGTCTGGCACAGAGCAGATTTAACGTGTTTGTGAGGTGAAGAGGCTGTTGGTCAGATTGGCCACAAGCAAAACTCATGGTTGGTTGGTTGGTTGAAATAAATAAATAAATAAAAATCCGCAAGTTATCTCAGCATAACTATTGCCTTCAAAATCTCTTGTGTCTAGAGGAAAGGTTTTAAATTCAAGTGTCTTGTATTTAATCACCTTCCATGGTAACAGGCAAAGTGATAACAATGCTTACACTTAATTTCTCAAGTGTGCTTTTGGGAAAGACCCCAGAAGCAGGGTGGAGCAGTTCATGGTGAATTCATGCAGGAGCAGTCCCCTTTCCCAATGCCCCACCCCCGTTACGACAGTGACTGCCTCCCAGCACATAGCATTGGCCTACCAGCCCCAGGGTTGTGAATTCAATCCTTGAGGGGGCCATTTAAGGATTTGGGGATTTAGTTGGGGATTGGTCCTGCTTTGAGCAGGGGGCCGGACTAGATACCTCCTGAGGTCCCTTCCAGCCCTGCTAGTCTCTGATAAACTCTATGATGATTTGTTAGCCAAGGGCCAAGCAGACACACAGACTAAAACACGCTCTCGCCCAGAACAGGGCAGGTTCAAGACACAGCGGAGTTCGGTCGCACGAGCCCGCCCGGCCCCTCGCCCACCCCTGTCCCTGCTGGCGAGAGGCAGCCCCGGGGGCGGAGGCCTGGCTCCCGGGGGACACGGGCCCGTTGCGGGGATGGGGCCCCGAGCGGGAGAACAAACGGCCGCTCCGGGGCGGGCGGGCGGACAGG